AAGAGACACAGAAAGTGAGAAATCACTCCCCAGAGGGGATGGCCATGCCACAGTCCCTTCTCCTCCATTCTCCTCTCGGGATCCTGGGCACACATGCACCTGGCATGAGTTGAAGGCACTGGGTCCAGGATTTGAACTGCAGTCGACTACATGGGAGTCCAGCAACATAGCTATTATGCCAACTTCTGGTCCCATATTTTAAGAAATATTTTTAGAACTATTTATTTAATTTTATTTATCATTGTTATTATTCAGTTTAACCAGAGAAAAGAGAAATAAAGAGGAAGAGAGGGAGAGTGAGAAATCTAGCTGCCGGGTCCAGGACTCGAATCGCAGTCAGGCATGTGGGACTCCAGAGCCTTAACCACCACACCACCTGCGGGCCCCAAAAGTTTTCTTTATTAAAAAAAAAATTATCCATGGGAACCAGCAGTTAGCGTAATGGCTATGTCGCTGGACTCCCACGTAGTCGACCGCGGTTCATGTCCCAGACCCGGTGGCTTAAAAAAACTCATGCCGGGCGCATGTGCGTGCGTGCCCAGAATCCTGAGAGGAGAATGGAGGAGAAGGGATTGCGGCATGACCATCCCCCCTGGGGGGTGATTTCTTGCTTTCTGTCTCTATGTCTCTCTCTGTCTGGAGAGCGCACGCACCCTACAGTGAAAATCTCTCCAAAAAAAAAAAATTATCCTTAGCTACAGAAGAAATAAATTTCTGCAGTTTAAATGATTTTTGTCAGAGAAGTATAGAAAATTATATAATGTTAATTGTTTTTACAGAGTGAGAGAATCATTTTATCAGTTACATTCAGACCAAAAATGTGATTTTTCTCTCTGAAATCTAGAGAAGCCTGTCAATACACTTAGAACTCAACAGGGCAAAGAGACTGTAAATTGGTGAGGCAGAACGCAGCAAAAATTCCTAAAAATTAGAAATGATCATCTTGAACAAGATGACTAAGGCTTCACAATGTTTAGTTAGTAAGTAATTGACCAAAAACTGATCCAAGACTGAGGCCATGGCATAGCATGGGGCATAAATAGAATTCCTAGGATTCAAGGGGAAAAGGTTCTGCGGGGGGACATCCTGTCCGAGTTCAGATCTGCACCTGCTGGTTTGAGACATGTATCTAATGGCCCTACTGGTTCTGAAGCTGGGAAAGAGGCATTCCCACAGGAGAAAGAGCTGCCAAAGATCCTCAATTGAGAGGCAAGTGGAGGTGAGAGTATCTAAGTGTAGGGTATTGACAGGAAAAAGAGCAGAATCCGGGACAGGATCCAGGGAGACTCCCAGGTGTGAGAGATGTCTATAACAGTAAGGAGTAAGCAAAGAGGTGAAACTGGGGAAAAACAGGCGAGTGTGGATGTCATGAAGGTCAAGACTAATATGTGCCGCATTTCTGCTGGGAAAAACCAAGCTGTACACTGTAAAGATACAGAGTGATTAAATGTCAGTGCTTGAAGGGGGAAGAGTTTAACCACAAAGAGTGGTGTAATCAGGTAAGAAACAATGTCTGTTTAGGTACTGAAAGTAGTTATCTTGTTTAAGAAATTGATGATTCGGCTTTACGTTTACTCATTCTGATTTCAGCTTCTGTGAACTGTTTTATTATTTTGTTCTTTTCTCTTAATTAATTACATGGGTTTGGCAGCTGAACATCTTAAAAATTAGCATAATATTTTTTTTTCTTGAAAATCTTGTTTTACTATTATTATTTTAGCAAAATTTCGGAGTTGGGGAACCTGTTCTGGCCTAAAATTCTTGATTTAAGTTGTTCTGGAAAAAAGTTCTTATTTACTGATTACAGATTATGAGAGACTGAATAAGATGTGATTATATTTATTAGTAAAATAACAAAAAGGTAATCATATGTCCCCCCATCAACTTCATGTTGGAAAAGTAGCTTTGAAATAGTCTTTTGCTATGCATGAAAGAATAACTAAATTTAAGAATTTAATGGATAATTAAACACCAACTTCTAATGATACAAATTGCACACACATATTAAAATATATTTGAATTTCGGTATATAAAAAGTTAACCAAATATTTTATTTTACTAACACACAGTTTTCAAAGTATATGCATGGCATATAATGTTTCATTAAGGCACCAAAACCTCAAACATTGAAAATAATAAATTTAATAATAGCAAAGTACATCTTTTGAATCAATTATAAAATGGTAAAATGTCATAATATTGCTGACTATGGGAATTAAAATTCAATGAATGAACTTTTTTTTTTTTGGAGAGGTTTTTGCTATAGGGAACGTGTGCTCACCAGACAGACAGAGAAAGACAGAAAGACAGAAAGCGAGAAATCACCCCCCACGGGGGATGGCCACACCACAATCCCTTCTCCTCCGTTCTCCTCTCGGGATCTTGGGCATGTACACACGCGCCCAGTGGGAGTTTGAAGCCACCAGGTCCAGGACCCGAACCGCGGTCGACTACGTGGGAGTCCAACGACATAGCCATTACGCTAATGGCTGGTCCCAATGAATAAACTTTTTAAAACTGAAATGTGCTGGAAAAGTGTTTAAGTGATTTTAGAACGGGCTTTTAGGTATGCTACTTAGGTTGAATGCAAGAATTCACATTTAAGTATAAGCTATACACTCTTGGATTATAAGCAATTCCTTTATTTGAATCAATATTTTTGGAATAAGTGATTAATCATTTCCATGTTGTTTTCCATGTTGAATTTCTATGAATGACTTAGATAGTAATGATCATATTTTTATTAATTTACTGATGATGTGTATTGCAGAACAAATGCTTACCAAGAATGTTATTGTATTCATTCAAAAATGAAAATTAATCATCTTTCTAAAAGGTTTATAGGCCATGTGCTTCAATACATTTTCCTTAAATGGTAGAGTATGAAAGTAAAGTACTCCCTATGTATAGGTTTTAGGGAGAACTGAATAAATACTGTTGCTTTATGTTTGCAAGGTACATAATTTTAAGCCAAAGAAATTCTTGCAACAAGAACATGCAAAATTTTAAAAAAGCAAAGAGTAAACTTAATAAAAGAAGTTGATAAGACATACGTTGAACTTTTTACTACTTATTAGTGTGCCTATAAAGTGGAAAGATAAAACAAATAAACTAAAAACAGTAACAAAAAAATTAAAGACTTTTTTGGAATTGTAAAATGAAAATATACGTTTATTTCCATTTACAGTGTATATTATAACTGCCATGTTTGTGTAGTCACCATTTTGCACAAATAAGTTTAAAATCTTTCCTTTTCCTGAATCAATGTAAACAGAGCCCAGACGGCCGTATCGAAGTGAAAGGGCAGCATGGAAGCTCATCCCTGCATATTAAAGATGTGAAGTTGTCAGATTCAGGGAGATATGACTGTGAAGCTGCAAGTAGAATTGGAGGGCATCAAAAGAGCATGTACCTTGATATTGAATGTAAGTTATTCTCATTTTGTGTATTTATTAAAACAGCTTTGTCAGTTTTGAGAAACATGAATTTTTATAGGAAAATAAATGTATATGTAGTTCATATATTAGTATTTAATGCATAGCTTTGGAAGAAATGTAGCTGAAACCAGTTATTAGAGACACCTAGTGGATGTTATAGAACATTTCATAGTGTTATATGGTAAATGGTCTTGATATTGTTTATTCTGAAAAATGGCCAACCATGGTCAAGTCCTAGACCTGAGAGCTTGCTTTATCACTCTCCCTCTCTCTCTGGTCAAATGAAAAAAAGTAATAATAATAGCAGTTAATAAAATTTCAAAAATCAACATGCATTTAAATTTTTAAGTTTTGTAAAAAAAATCCTTATCATGATATATAACGATATGAGATTTTTAGTTATCATTGATTTCAGTTAGACCGAAATTTATGGGACGTACAATGGTTGTATTTTGCGGTATGAATTATTAGCTTTTGTGATATCATAATAGAATAATATATTAACAAATTTTAAGAGTGCTTAGGATACACTAGTAGTTTTCAAGAGCTGTTTTCTAACAAAATATATATTGCTTCTTTTTTTTTTTTTTGCATCCCTCCTTTACTTTAGATGATCGAATATCAGTTTATCTTTCTGCTTAATTATTTGGAGGTAAATGTTTAGACTGAAGATCCTCAGAAAATTACTTCATTTCTCTTATGTAAAGGAGATAAAAGATCATTTTTCTCTTTTTATAAAAGGATGTTTTGACAAGTGTTTGGACATTCCTTGAGATTATTGTTGCCATTATGATGATTAGGGACTGACTAGATACGTACATTTTGAAACAGTAAAGTGTGTTGTCCCCACTATTAATTAATTTTTAACAAATAACCACATTTCATTTTTACTAAACATTTATAATATTTCCTCGAATATTTTTGGCACTGAATATGATGACTCACACTTGATTAATTCTTCCTTTTGTCTTAAAATAAAATATTTAGATTTATTATACTTGAGTGGGAATAATTAGAAAAATAAATATGCTCTATCTTATAACTTTATGAAATACAACAAAAAGCATATATAGAAAGTATAAAATGTGGTCAGTTTTGACTTCTGTATAAGCCAACAAAACTGTAACAATCATCAAGATAAATATTTCCAGGACCAGTAGGTGGTATGGTGATTAACGCACTAGAATCCCATATGGCCAATTGTGGTTCAAGTCCCAGAAATGGTGATCACCTTTTTCACTTTCCCTCTCTGTCTCTCTCTGGTAAGTGTGCATGCCCTATAACAATATTAGTATTAGTAATAATAATAATTAAATTAAAATAATTCATTATTTTTTTTCTAGCGAGAGCTTTTTTGCTAAAGGTTGCAGAGAGAGACAAAGACAGAAAGCAAGAAATCACCACTCCAAGGGGGATGGCCATCCTGCAATCCCTTCTCTTTCATTCTCCTCTCAGGATTTTGGGCACACAAGTACATGCACTAGATATGAGTTTTAAGCCACAGGTTCTGGGACTTGAATCATGATCTACCACATGGGACTCCAGAGATGTAACCAGTATACCAGCTGCTGGTCCCTAAAAATTATTATTAAAAAAGAAAGTTAATATTCCCATCCCATCACCTCCAAGAGTTTTCTCATGCTGCTTTGTAATCAATCCTTGTTCACTTCTTTCTTTTGTTCCTCTCTAGGCATACATGTACCATGAACTTATTTCTTTTTCTTTCTTTCTTTCTTTTTTTTTTTTTAATCCTTTTTAATTTGCTAAATAGTGTGGCCTCACTGGAAAGACAGAGAGAGGGAAAATGAGAAAGAACTCCCCAGTGGATGGGCACATCATAATCCCTTTTCCTTATTTTCTTCTTGGGATTTTGTCTACACACACACACACACACACACACACACACACACACATATACACACACACCACCAGTGTGGTTTTTTAGTCACCAGGTCTGGTACTCAAGCTGCATAGTTGGCCATGTGGGATCTGGTTGCCTAAACTACCATACCACCACTTCTTATCTCTCATTGTTATAATTTTATTTGCATTTCTAATCATTTCTGTGAGGATGAATATAATCATACAATGTTATTTTCATTTTATTTTAATATTTAGAAAATTATTTGCTTTTATTTAAGTACAGTTGAAATTAATAATTATATATAGTCTTATAGAGTATAACTGATGTTGTGATATGTGTATACAATGAGGATTAAATGAAGTGAATTAGCATTTTTTTTATAGGTTTTTGCTATAGGGCGAGTGCACTCACTAGACAGAGACAGAGAGATAGAAAGCAAGAAATCACCTCTCAGGGGGGATGGCCACGCCGCAATCCCTTCTCCTCCACTCTCCCCTCGGGATCTTGGGCACGCACGCACACGTGCCTGGAGTGAGTTTTAAGTCACCGGGTCCGGGACACAAACTGCGGTCGACTACATGGGAGTTCAACAACATAGCCATTATGCTAACTGCTGGTCCCGTGAATTAGCATTTTTATAACCTCACCTATGTATCATTTTTTATAATGAGATATTTAAAATATACTCCCTTATACATCTTGCATATACATTATCATTAACCATAATAAGCTGGCTGTGTAATAGATCCTACAATAGATTCCTCTTGTCTATTATGTACCCTTTAATGAGCACCCACCCTACCCCCAGCCTCTAGTAACTGTCATTCTATTCTCTGCTTCTATGAGTTCAACCTTATTATATTTGTATATAAGTGAGAACATGTACCTAAAAAAAGTTAATATCCAAAATGTATAAGGAACTCAAGTGAGATCATGTGCTATTTTGTCTTTCTGAGCCTGTCATATTTTGCTTAGCCTAATGTCCTACAAAATCATCCATATTTTTACAAGTGAAAGGATTTTCTCCTTTTTAAAGGGTGAATAGGTTTTGGTTGTGTGTTTACACCACACTTTTTAATGTACTCATCCATTGGTAGACATTTAAGTTGACTTCATGTCTTGGAATAATAATGGTGAATAATAATGAACTTGTTGAACTCAGAAGAACAGATCTCTCTATGTGGTGCTGATTTCACATCCTTTGAGTATATATCCAGAGGAGGAACTACTGAATCATATGATAGTATTTTTTTTAGTTATTGGAGGAACTTCCATACAGTTTTCCATCATGATTGCATTAATTTACACTCCCATAAAAGATGAATAAATGTTCTTTTTTCTCAGTGTCCTTGCCTACCTGTCTTATGTTCTATCACTTAGATAAAAACTGTTTTAATAGGTGAGAGGTGAAATCTCATTGTGTCTTTAATTTGCATCTCCCTAATTATGAGTGATGTTGAGCATTTTTCATTTATATATTGCCCATTTGTATGTCTTTATTTTGAGAAATGTCTGCCAGATCCTTGGGCCATTTTTGCTTGGAGTATTTGTTTCTTGTTGCTGAGTTGTCTTGAGTTCCTTATACATTTTGGATATTAGCTTCTTTTAGGTATACGATTTACAAATATTTTCTTTCATTCCATAGGTTATATCTATAGAGCTCTTTCTGTCAGCATGCACTGACACAAATAATGTGCATCAATAATCTATAATTCATAATCTTGGTATTGTATCATATGGATATAACTGAGTTTGTTTATCTAATACCTGTTGACTGACGTTTCAGTTGTCTTAAGTTATTGGATATTAATTTTTTTGTTTTTTGAGTGAGATTTTTGCTATAGGGCACATGTGCTCCAGAGAGACAGAGACAAAAAGTAGGAAATCACCCTCCCCCGGGGGGGAATGGCTACACTTCAGTCCCTTCTCCTCCATTCTCCTTTCAGGATCTTGGGCACAAAGGCGCATGCATGGCCACATACCCAGCCTGAGATAGATTTATTTATTTGTTTGTTTATTTGTTTGTTTTTGGAGAGGTTTTTGCTACAGGGCACATGCGCTCACTAGACAGAGACAGAGAGATAGAAAGCAAGAAATCACCTCTCAGGGGGGATGGCCACGCCGCAATCCCTTCTCCTCCATTCTCCCCTCGGGATCTTGGGCACGCACGCACACGTGCCTGGAGTGAGTTTTAAGTCACCGGGTCCGGGACACAAACTGCGGTCAACTACATGGGAGTTCAACAACATAGCCATTATGCTAACTGCTGGTCCCGTGAATTAGCATTTTTATAACCTCACCTATGTATCATTTTTTATAATGAGATATTTAAAATATACTCCCTTATACATCTTGCATATACATTATCATTAACCATAATAACCTGGCTGTGTAATAGATCCTACAATAGATTCCTCTTGTCTATTATGTACCCTTTAATGAGCACCCACCCTACCCCCAGCCTCTAGTAACTGTCATTCTATTCTCTGCTTCTATGAGTTCAACCTTATTATATTTGTATATAAGTGAGAACATGTACCTAAAAAAAGTTAATATCCAAAATGTATAAGGAACTCAAGTGAGATCATGTGCTATTTTGTCTTTCTGAGCCTGTCATATTTTGCTTAGCCTAATGTCCTACAAAATCATCCATATTTTTACAAGTGAAAGGATTTTCTCCTTTTTAAAGGGTGAATAGGTTTTGGTTGTGTGTTTACACCACACTTTTTAATGTACTCATCCATTGGTAGACATTTAAGTTGACTTCATGTCTTGGAATAATAATGGTGAATAATAATGAACTTGTTGAACTCAGAAGAACAGATCTCTCTATGTGGTGCTGATTTCACATCCTTTGAGTATATATCCAGAGGAGGAACTACTGAATCATATGATAGTATTTTTTTTAGTTATTGGAGGAACTTCCATACAGTTTTCCATCATGATTGCATTAATTTACACTCCCATAAAAGATGAATAAATGTTCTTTTTTCTCAGTGTCCTTGCCTACCTGTCTTATGTTCTATCACTTAGATAAAAACTGTTTTAATAGGTGAGAGGTGAAATCTCATTGTGTCTTTAATTTGCATCTCCCTAATTATGAGTGATGTTGAGCATTTTTCAT